ATCGTCATATAAAAAAAAACATCATTTATATAGATAATAAATAAAAGGAAACCAAGTACGGATCACTGAGGTAATCCATGCTCGACAATTTTGGAATCAAATTTCAAATTGTTATATAATATATATTGCATGCTGTCTGTCAAAAAAAATGTATTAGGTTATGACCTAATAGCGTATGCGCTATGCCTCCAATACCATATTTTAAAGTTTTCTCAATATGGCATATGAAACACTGTCAAATGCTTTAGATAGATAGCAAAAAAGTAAGTGAGTGTAGATACACAAATCTTTATTATGGGCAATGGTGTAAACAATTTCCGTCATTGCTTGGGATATAGATCTCGTCGATCTGAAACCATATTGAGCATCATTCAAGTATGTACCCCCTTCAAGGAAATCAAAAAGTCTTTCTTTAACTAGAATTTCAATTTGTGATACACTGCTTGGAACTTTTGGTGTACTGATGAATATTACTGGAGTTTTTCCCAACACCAAAACGTTATTTCAACACCTCGACACGTGTTTCTATCATCTTCAAAAGGAAGATCAATGATCTTTGATACAATGGGAGTTATGGTGATAAATCTATAGTTATTGCAATCATTAGGATCTCCCTATTTTAGGATTGGTGTTGCTCAGCATAATTTTAGGTTCGCTAGAAACATTCCACATGAGAAGCAAATATTTGCTAGGTGTGCTATAGGCTTACCAAGAGCCATCTTCACTTTAATGGAACTGATGTTATAGGCATCTAAACTATTTTAATTTTTCAATAAAGCAATTACAGTTTGCACTTCAGTCTTCAAGAAAAACGAGTCTTTCAGTGATATCTGGATGATGTATCGCATTTCTGGATCATACTCATGTTCATTTTTTTAAGAATGATCCTGACAATGTATCCAGGATATACATTTCTCTACCATGCAAATATTCGATTTGAATATTATATTTCAACATGCTTTGAAGTCTCAAGTCAAAAAATTGGAGTCAATAGTTTATGAGCAGATTGAACTTTTACTTTATGGCCAAAATTGTGACATTTTTCAAAAGCAAATACAATGGCAAGTAACTCTTTCAATTTGGGTGAGTTTAGCAGAAGTGAGTTAAGCAGATCTACTAAAAAGACTGTGTAGGGCAGGAAATGAATGAAAAGAAAACTGATCCATTATTAAATAATATCAGGGGAAAGGCAGATAAACATTCAGCCGAGGTTTGCTAAGACTTCAGTTCTTTCGTGGAACAAATCCCTAGGAATTTATGGTAGTTATCAAGCACATCAAAAACAAGAATTACAAGGAAATGGATGACATTTCTATTGAAATATTTGAAAATCTGCCTCATTCGACCTTGCAAAAATCATAGAAAACTTGTAAGAATAGGAATTTTCCCCTTTTGTAATGACAATAACGTTTTTACTTTTCGCCAAATCGGATTCCAAGCGAATGATGCAACGTTCTCTCTGTTAGAAGCGGTATATTCTCAATATGATGCTAAAGATTCGCTGCAAATTTTCTGTGACCTATCGAAGGCATTCGACTGTATCAAGATCCTCCTGAATGAGCTACAATAGTATGCTTTCAGAAACAACACCCTTCAGTGGTTTAAATCATAGTTATCAGGCCGCAAATAAATAACGAAAACTGGTGGTGTCTTAAGAGGATTTGATGATGATATGACACTGAACTTTTCATCAGGAAATAAATCAACATTGTAGATTTTAAATTATTTTGTATAATAAGTTCATCTGAGTATAATCTAGATTACCAGGTCATAGTTAGGTATAGTTCAAGTAAATGATATAGTGCAACCTACAACCTATCTCTTTTTCGCATTGTTCACCATCGCCATTGGAATGTCTAAAAAGGAAAAAGTCTGCGTTGTTATCACACTCGTTATTACTAATAGTACTTGTCCAAGGACGCCACATTTTAAACAGATAACAAAAATTTGAAGTAATCATTACTGCACCAATATCGAATTTCAACACTCAATTCGCGATCAGTTCCTGAACTGAACATTGACAACACGACGGTTCGCATTCTATTCGTCACCGTAACATGACTTCAAATTTAATTTTACGTCTCTTCAGCCAATCATAAAACTCGGTTGGTAAAAATCATCCAATACGAACCGCCAAGTCTTCAGTCCACGTGGACTNAAGAAAAAGAAGTTCCATGTAAGTGAAATTTTACCTCTTTCATATACTATATTATTTAGCAATCCCATGAAAGATATCTGATTCAATTCCATAATGAATTTTTGGAGTACAAACTGAATAGAAAAAGGGATTTTTTGTATAATTCAATATTCATATAAAAGTAGTTTTTTCAAGAGGGGTTTTTCTTCCAGTTTGTGTCTGAAAGTTACCTCTTTGTATGATCTACACATCTTTGCTACACATCTTGCAATCATTTGCTTTTTTCCTTTCTTTGGAAGATTCTTACATTTTTTTTTGTATAAAGTTTGAATTGAACCTGATTACTTTCATCCCAATTCTAAATTACTTTTAGATCCTCATTTAGATATGCAACCTCCTGCTGCCGGTGAAGATGTGCATCTGCCACCGATGTCCTGGAATCCAACTGGAATGACGAGACAATTGTGCTGTCGTTAGCAAAGCAATATATTGGACTCTTTGGTTTTTTCCAATAAGTCGTTGATATACAATAAAAAGAGGGTTGGAGACAATATAGATCCCTGGGGAACACCGGCATTGATAGTAAAAGTATTCGAGAGATATCCGTCGATGGTTACTTGCAGGGAAAGTTATTTCAAGAAGTTGGACAGCCTTATACAAAAATTATCTGATAAACCATAGCATCGAAGTTTGGCCAGCAAACCCTCATGCCACACATGGTCATAGGCCTTAAAAATACCAAGTGCAACAGCTTTCCATGTTTCTCGATTGCGTTATTGCAAATATGGGTGACATACGATAGAAAGTCGCCTGTTGATCTTTGTTTCTGAAAGCCATATTGAAGCCTTAAAAATATTCAAGTGGGACGCAAATTGTCAGCTAGATTTGCTTTTTCTATTGCTATTGTTGCAATTGAACCATCCGCTTGTGTTAGCGGTGGAATTGTGGATTTTGTAAAGTATTGATTAACAGCTTTAGCTACGAACCAGAAGGATCTATCCCTAATTTTCTGATTGTGAAGTTATTTGCTTTCATTTATCCTAAGTTTGCAGCTGTTGCGAACATTAATAAACCTAGTTTGATTTTCGGCACTGGGATTTTTGTCCACTGCCAGTAGGCAGTTCTTCATCATGTAATGTTATCCAGATTGGTGCTGACGAGGCAATAAGTGTCTTATTCCAAAAATCAAAGTTTGCCATTGAGGATGAAAGTGTTTCATGGAAGTGAAATTTTACTTCTTTTATATACTAATGATATCTGATTCAATTCCATAATGAATGTTTGGAATACGAACTGAATAGGAAAAAGTGTTTTTTGTATAATTCAATGTTCATATAAAAGCAGTTGTTTCAAAAGTATTTTTTCTTTAGTGTAATTCAATGTTTATATGAAAGTAGTTGTTTTTAGAGGGCTTTTTCTTTCAGTTTGTTTGTGAAAGTTACTTCTTTGTATAATCTACACTTTTTTGTAAAGAGTTTATTTTGGAATTATTTGCTTTCTTCTTTTCTTTGGAAGATTCCCACATTTTTTTTTTCGATTGCGAACTTAGAAGTTTCGGAATAAGACCTTTTTTTCATTGCATATGGAGAAGTAGAAAGCCAAAACCTTTCTTTCACAAAAAAGATATTTTTAAAACCGCCAATGATAATGATTCTGTTTTGGTTGAAATTGAAAACTTCCTTCAGAACAACTGATGTGAAACATCATTTTAACCTGAAGAACTATATAATTTTTTAGAAGAAAAATTCTTGTTGATAATAAGTATTTCTTATGACAATAAACGAATATCCCTCTCTAATTTGTCAAATGGTCTAATTTTCCTCGGTAACAAAATAATTGTGCCCACTGCTTTGCACACAAAAATGATGAAATTGATTCAAGAACCCCATTTAGATGTTGAAAAACTAAATTGAGAGCAGTTCAGATACTATATTGGCCAAAAATGTTGAAGGATTAGATCGGAAAGAAGCCACCTAGCAGATCTTGGCAATATTTATTTTCAAATTGAGTAATAAAAATGATTTATGGAAATGGCTTTCTACTTCTCCATCCTTATATAAAAAATTTTAAAAATTTCCAAAGGAGATAAGAAAGCAAATAATATTAAAATCAATTCTTTATAAAGATGTGTAGATCACGCAAAGAAGTAACTTTCAGATACAAACTGGAAGAAAAAGCCCTCTCGAAAAACTACTTTTATATGAACATTGGATTACATAAAAAAAATTATTTCAAAACAAATACTTTTATGTGAACACTGAATTATACAGAACATACTATCCTCTACTCAGTTTGTATTCCAAACATTTTAAGTAATTGAATCAGATATCATTCACTGGATTCCTACACAATATATTCAATAAAAGGAGTAAACATTTCACTTATATGGAACACTGTCATCCTCAATGGCAGACATCCAATTTTTCGGAATAAGGCTTTTGCCTTATTGCCTCTTCAGCACCAATCTGGATAACACTACAGATGAAGCACTCAACTCATTTATGAAATTACGACTTCAAGTCACGAATTAGTTGAATCCTTTGTATATTGTATTGAGTTCACTATCTCATATGATGTTACCTAGGATATGGAATATCCATGCAAGACTTGACGAAAACGAATAAAGCATTTTGAACCAGATATAACATGTGACATCTACTCTAATATCATCTCCGAGAAAATGAGCTAAACAGGTCATATTCGCTTACCATGTTTCCTATTTGATCTCAAAAAAGTAAAAAATAAGGTTTTCAACAGATGTCTACTCCACTTCAAGAAAATAATTTACCACCGTCAAGACTGGCAATATTAATTTTAGAATTTGAAGCTAATAGTAATATTTGGGTGAAAATAAATATCAATATAGATTAGATGAAAACTTTACTGTGTTAACTGCTTCTTGCATCGTTTATTGTTGCTGGAACTTTGACTTCTAAACCATTCAATTTCTCAGTTAAAATGATTTGACAACCTAATCTAGATGTGTCCGTTATATCATAAGCTAAATCAAGCATGTCCAATTCTTCATCTGAAGGTTTCTCAGGAAGAGCATTGAAATCTTCAGGTTTGAATATCAGATGACAAGTAGAACAAGTTAAAGTTCCTTCACAAGCACCAAATCCATCTAGGTCTATACTATTATTGACTACCACATCGAGGAGTGAATCTCCAGTTTTTCCTTTGACTTTAATTCTCTCTCCATTAGCTCTTACAAATGTTACTTCTATCCTGAAAAAGTTGAATGTTGAAAATGATCCAGGCGTTATACACATTTTTTACTCTTTTTTATCCAAGGCTGGCTGTTCATTGGAGAAGAATCTTGCACTTATTTGTGACCTACTGAATTTTAGGTTACTGGAAAGAACTGAACTACACCTAATAAACTGTCTTAATGCCATTATTTTGATATGCTACCCTTTAATTTCTGCTGTGTAGATTGATCAACATCAATTGCACAACATATATTGGAATATCTCTTTATTTGAATATAATTTCTGTTTTGTACGTCAAAATTTTGATAGAATTATATATAATAACCTTGGACTATGATTTTTAAAATATATATAATTCTCTCAAATTGAGTAATCAAGCCCATATTTATCCAAGTCACAGAAAACACTTGTCTGTGTTGGGTTGTACGCACGTACGCGAAGTCAGAGGTGTTTTCTGACGTTTAATCGTATTCGAGCGTGTATTCAAAAACGATTCGAAGTGACTTCATTAGTAACAAGATTTGCCAGAATGTAATGATTCAATTTGTGTCAGATGTCAAATCCAATAATGAAAGTAAACTTTTCAATTTTCTCCAATCTCATTTAAAATCGGTTAGCATTTCCCAGATTCATTTTGTACATCCTCACAACGTATTTGATACAAAGTTTTCAGCACTTTATAAGCTATAACTATCAAAATAAAGCAGAAACAGACAACTTACTCAACGTCACGTCAAATTCCGTTTCAAAACCAACCTCACGTTAGTTTTGAATCATCATGAATACGTTTCAAAATCATAGTTGATGTGACGTCATCGTTTCAACGCCAGAATGAATATATTTGAATCACAGACGAATACGTTTTGAATACATGAGCGCCACAAAACGCCTCAGCACAGTTTTCCAGTGTTGCCGACTAGTAGAACTATAAAGTCGCTACACATGAATCAAAATTCCGCCACACTACTTCATATTCCGCTACGCTTGTATATCTGGCACAATCAGTTGGCCATGCGCCCTATCCAAAATTGAATACCACAGAACTTACAGTTTGTAGTTTGTGTACCGTTCAGATACCTCCAAACTGCTGTCACTAATGTAAGTAATCAGGATCATGATAATTTTCAACCGCGCAACTCAGTAGATGGTACCCAATTTTCTAAGTTTACAGCAGTTAATTTTTGAAAGTTGTCGTCTCTACTAAATATTTCTTAGCTTGAAAAAATGATTTCGAAAAGTAAAAATAAAAATCAATTCGTTCACGTACGTATAGTCACACTGAGCTCTTGAACGATCATTCGCGACATGACTAATCCATCTTTTCAAGTTGGATTCAGACAAACAATGTTAATAAAAAGTTTGATTTCGAGACTTTGTAATTTTTTGAACATATCCCATTCCCGTCAATTCCAACTGCGATAGCTCTTTCGCTCGAGTTATAATCAGATGAACTATCTTCCATTTCTACTGTAATTTGTTTCATATAAGTTATAATACTTGAAACAGGTATTGGAGGTTATACGGTTTATGAAATGAATGAAAATATTCAAAAATATTCTTCTCATTCATCATGTAATGGCCTCACTACTAAGACTATAACGTATTAGCTGTCAGCTTCGAGTGCTGTCTGCGGATATTAGTTGCTGAGGCCATTGAATTGAAAAGAAGAAGGAAAGTGCTGTCCACTGCCTCTTCTTCTTCTATATTTTTTTTCAATATTGATTATAGAAAATTCCGCTACTTTATGTTCAAATCCGCTTCGCCGCTACCGTCGAGTAAATTCCGCTACAGTAGCGGAATTCTGCTACGGTTGGCAACTCTGCAGTTTTCCTAAAAATCCTGTGTCGTCAGTTTCGATGCTAATTATCAGTGTTGCCAATAAAAATTCCAAAACTTGAAACGAAATAAATTTATTTCATTGGCGAATTAATGAAAATTTTCACTTACTCTGATCCAATGACTGTAGAAAACCCCGATGTTAAGTGATACCTACAATTGTGATAAATGTATACTTCATATGTTATCGAATGATGACTTAAAATAACCAAAGGAAAAATCTATTTTAGTATTCATTCACTACATATACAAATTTTGATGAGTAGAAATTGTGATAAAACATCAAATTTTATGTTGTACATCATTTTAAAATAAAGTATACATCTTCTTCTTCTTCTTTTAATTTTGGTCCTAGCTTCCAGGTTTGGCGCTTTTATGACCAGTACTCTTTTTTAATGTGTTGACTGTAACAAAAACTTTGTCCGGGGAGTACAAAAGTCTTGTATTACACAATATTGTACTCCATGTTTTTTCCTTGTATATGTATTGTCTTTATTTTTCCATCTCCTTTTCTTTGTTTTCTTCTGTGTGCTAGGCCGTTATTAATAGTAGGTTTAGACTCTTCTCGCTTCAGGGCAGCAGTGAAGCATTAACTCAAACCGAAATGCTGCCTCGGATAGAAAGCACCCAGGATGGAAAAAGTTAAAGATGGTATCCTACATAATAGAAAATTTATATATATGTATATACAGGCTGATTCACGGTGGATGGCACATTAGACGTTTCTGGTGAACCAGACAACGGATCACTTTGAAAATTTATTAAAAATACATTTAAACAATGAATAAGAGAACCAACAATAATTTATTATGGTATCTGAAACTTACCTAAAACCAGGCACACTATTCGTAACTTATATAACAAATTCTGATAGTTTCGCCCAGAGGATTATAATTTTCTTTCGATTTCTACGGCTATCGCTTACAGACTTGAAGGAAAGAAGTTTATTTTGTTCTGTCCGAACATTTAGCAAAAACTACTAAAATGATGAACGGTCAGGTAGAGGCATCTAGTCGTATACTTATCAACCTTTCGAAGTAGAAACCTTACATTCCAATGATAGCGGGTAGGATTGACCACATACAGGATGATTCTGCTACAATCAGCATTTGATTTTTTAGAAAAAAAGTAGTAAACAAAATATTATACAACACAACACTTGACAAAATAAAAATAACTTGAAATGTAATAATTAATAGGATTACTTATTTTTATGCACTCGTTGCACGGTCCAGTGAACTAACCGGTTTAAAAAAGCCTCTGGCGATGCATCATCTATTTTATAGCGTTCCGGGCATTGTTCATGTCTAAACAGGAAAAATCACCGCCTGACATGTTCTCGCAACATAGGAATCGGCAGTAACTGGATGATATACTAATAAAATAACTACTGCAAGTTATATCTTCCCAACACATGGTCGATGGTGAGTCATATTCACACTTCTAAATTATCTTATAATTTGAATACAAACGATGATATTAAACTAGTTTCGAAGTGATAACCTACTATTAAGTAAATAATTAACAATCTTGGCTAGTGGTATAGTCGAAGTAACCGGTATTGTGCATACCCAAAGTGTCGGCGTTCTCAAACGCAAAAAAAACCAATACAGAGAAATAAAGCCGCTGCCAATTAGTCCACGTGGACTGAAGAATTGGCGGTTCGTATTGGATGATTTTTACTAACCGAGTTTTATGATTGGCTGAAGAGTCGTAAAATTAAATTTGCGAATTGAGTGTTGAAATTCGATATTAGTGCAGTAATAATTACTTCAAATTTTTGTTATCTGTTCAAGATGTGGCGTCCTTGGACAAGTACTATTAGTAATAACGAGTGTGATAATAACGCAGACTTTTTCCTTTGTAGTGATTCCAATGGCGATGGTGAACAATGCAAAAAAGAGATAAGTTGTAGGTTGCAATATATCATTTACTTGAACTATACCTAACTATGACCTGGCAATCTAGATTATACTCAGATGAACTTATTATACAAAATAATTTAAAATCTACAATGTTGATTTATTTTCTGATAAAAAGTTCAGTGTCATATCATCATCATATCCTCTTAAGACACCACCAGTTGTTTTCGTTATTTGTTTGCGGCCTGATAACTATGATTAAAACCACTGAAGGGTGTTGTTTCTGAAGGCATACTATTGTAGCTCATTCAGGAGGATCTTGATACAGTCGAATGCCTTCGATAGGTCACAGAAAATTTGCAGCGAATCTTTAGCATCATATTGAGAATATACCGCTTCTAACAGAGAGAACATTGCATCATTCGCTTGGAATCCGATTTGGCGAAAAGTAAGAACGTTATTGTCATTACAAAAGGAGAAAATTCCTATTCTTACAAGTTTTCTATGATTTTTGCAAGGTCGAATGAGGCAGATTTTCAAATATTCCAACAGAAATGTCATCCATTTCCTTGCAATTCTTGTTTTTGTTGTATTTGATAACTACCATAAATTCCTAGGGATTTGTTCCATGAAAGAACTGAAGTCTAAGCAAACCTCCGCTGAATGTTTATCTGCCTTTCCTCTGATATTATTTAATAATGGATCAGTTTTCTTTTCATTCATTTCCTGCCCTTCACAGTCTTTTTAGTAGATCTGCTTAAACTCACTTCAAAGTTATTGTGTAAATTGCCCAAATTGAAAGAGTTACTTGCCATTGTCTTTGCTTTTGAAAAATTTCACAATTTTGGCCATAAAGTAAAAGTTTAATCTGCTCATAAACTATTGACTCCAATTTTTTGACTTGAGACTTCAAAGCATGTTGAAATATAATATTCAAATCGAATATTTGCATGGTAGAGAAATGTATATCCTGGATGCATTGTCAGAATCATTCTTAAAAAAATGAACTTGAGTTTGATCCAGAAATGCGATACATCATCCATACCGATATCACTGAAAGACTCGTTTTTTTGAAGACTGAAGTGTAAACTGTAATTGCTTTATTGAAAAATTCAAATAGTTTAGATGCCTATAACATCAGTTCCATTAGACTGAAGATGGCTCTTGGTAAGACTATAGCACACCTAGCAAATATTTGCTTCTCATGTGGAATGTTTCTAGCGAACCTAAAATTATGCTGAGCAACACCAATCCTAAAAGGGGAGATCCTAATGATTGCAATAACTATAGATTTATCATCATAACTCCCATTATATCAAAGATCATTGATCTTTTGTTTGATCTTCCTTTTGAAGATGATCACTTGGTGATAGAAACAAGTGTCGAATTGTTGAAATAACGTTTTGGTGTTCAATAAGGTTTCAGATCGACGAGATCTATATCCCAAGCAATGACGGCAATTGTTTACACCATTGCCCATAATAAAGATTTGTGTATCTACACTCACTTACTTTTTTGCTGTCTATCTAAATCATTTGACAGTGTTTCATATGCCATATTGAGAAAACTTTAAAATATGGCATTGGAGGCATTGCGTATGACCTAATACATTTTTTTTTGACAGAGAGGATGCAATATATATTATATAACAATTTGAAATTTGATTCCAAAATTGTCGAGCATGGATTACCTCAGTGATCCGTACTTGGTTTCCTTTTATTTATCATAAAACGGAGTTTGACTTTGTCGCTTCTCCTTATGCTACTCGTAATAGCATATTTAATATAAGACTTC